TTCTACAGTAGCCCAGAATGGACAAACCACCAAACATTGGCTCTAGATAGGGCCATTCAGGGTTTCAAGTATTTGCTTTTTCGCATTGGCCACTGTTGTTAGAGGCCCTTATGCAACAAGCAGTGTTGGAAAAACACCACTTTGTAATGTGAAGCTGCTTTATTTAGTGTTTTAGTGGTTTAAATCACCTCTGTGGATAATTCGGTTCATGGTAAAAACCTCCTGAACATCTGGATCTTAAGTTATCAGAGAAAAAGGCGAGCACACACTAGCATCCATGCCAAAAAGCGCTGGAGATACACTGATTTGTAAAGTGAAACTACTTTATTTAGACCTCTGTGGATGATTCGGCTCCTGGTAAAATCCACCTCAATGTCTGGATCAGAAAAAGGACAAGCACACATCAGGTTATAAGAGAAAAAGGGTGAGCATGCAGTAGCATGTTATGGGCGAGCACTAACACTGATCACCAGGTCCATTTGTTTTGGAGAGGAGGAGACCTCTGCAGTTAATTCAGCTCCTGGTAAAAACCTACTGAACAATGAATTTTAACTGGGAGTTTCAAATCCCCCTAAATCTTACACACTGAACCAGGTTGAAAATCAGTGTTTCAGTTGCCTCTCTGGTTGAAAGTGTCACTTGTGTGCTTGGTTGAACCTGTAACCACATGCAACAGTGGTGTCATGGGTTCCTGGAGTATACGTGCACATCACTGCAGCAAGGTGAGAAGTTAAACCAGTGGAGCTAAGCAAAAACAAGATCTTCAGGGGATGCTTCATTAGTTCTTTTGTATTTTATATTTATCTATTTGAATGTAGGGAAGTATTTGTTTAGTGTGTGTATTCCAAATTGATAGCCTGTTGTCAATGTATTGTATTAGAAGTTCCCTTTTTCCCATATTCTTCGAACACAGCACTGTCTGTGTGAAAAGCTCTTTATTGCCCCTTGGCTCAGTCTGACACATGTACATCATATTGATGTGTTATATATATTGTCCCTAATGAATACCAGAACAAAGTAATATAAAGGTAATATCCCTTATGAAGACAAAATGAGTGCAGGAGTTTTGGTATCGACTCTCTTCAACATTTTGCTTGCTGCTTGTGCGCAAGTAGATTATGTGCTATAGAAATATCTAAGATAATAATGAGTTTCTGCCAATTATCATCCTTAAAATCTGGACATTTTCTAACCCTTGACCCAGAGAACTGAGCCTATCTGCATCGAAGACTCTTGTAATTTCAAAACAGAAATGTGCTTGAGTCTTCACTCACATCATACTTACATACTAACAGTGTATACAGAATAGTAGGTGGATGTATTGTGCTTGACAGACGTATCACTGGCTTCATCTCATGCTCAATGCACAGAAAAGAATCTCCAAGAATAGCAAACCACCCTAGATAGAGAAGTAGGACGTGTGGTGGTGTGATTCTACAAAGGATCATGCTTCCTCCTTCATTTTCTGCGAGGCCTTCATTTCATATCATGCATGGACAAATGGGATATTCTATGCCGTTACCTTGGAAACAGGCATGTATCTGGTCCCTGTGTTGCGAAGCAGGAGAGAATGATCCTTTATGTGCCTAGTAATGGCAGGAAAGCAGCATGACTCTAATGTGCTCTAATGTATAATCTCTGTTTCACTGCTGCTGGTTACTGTGACTGCAGAGGGCAGAGAGCCTCACACTGAATCAGTAAAACACAGTAACCTGCTCATATGAACAACAGTCAGAGCTCCAGGAGTGACTGTGCAGAAGTCTTTGTTTTTGTTAATGGGACTGGCAACTGATTTAGTGTCACACTTCATCATCTTCATCACTATTGTAGCCATCCCAGCAGAAAGATTGAGCGCGCTTGTGCTTATAAATATTTATGGTTTGTTCCAGATGACTGTAAAGCTCCATATTCAGCAGCTTGTGAGAAAGCTAAAGATGGAATTATTTATTCATTTATTTATTTATTTTGCATCTCTGAGACCTGAACAATGACTATCCTTTCTAAATTAAAGCAACTTTTTCTACCTTGAAATTACAGCTTCAGGTCATTTTGATGGCACACTGACTTGTAATAGGAAGAATGGCGCCTCTTTTAGTGCCACCTGTTCTTGAACTATGTAACTTTGGTAGGATCACCTGGGAGAAACGTTTTTCGGCACTACATCACATGCCATCAGCAAGTTATAAGAAGAAGCTAGCTCGGTATTCTCAGAACTTTCGTCATGGCAGAGGCAAACGACTGTTGTTATAAATCTCCCAACCTAATACACTGCGAGCAATGCATGAATTATGCCTTGTAACTGAGCAAACTAGTGCAAGGTTGTCTTTCTGTTCGCTGTGAGCCAGATTGCACTTTACGTCAGGGCAGTACAAAAACTTTGCAATCTGACAGCAGAATGGACGTCCCTGCCAATGTCCAATTTAATTTAGAAATGGGAGACAAGAATTAGCTAGCTAGCGCGCCCTGTGAGTGAGGCAGTAGGAGACTACCCTACCAAGCGGACTTTCAGTTCGGGGCTATAGCAACTTAAATTCAGCCAGCACAAACCCCTGCACCGACACTGCAGTGGCGTCACATTGTAAAAATACCAATTCTTGCACAATATTACTCTAACAATTGTGGTTTTGTTGCTGAAGTCGAGCTACGGTTACAGCTAGACTAGGCCATCGAATTGGACTACTGTCCTTGTCCCAATATACAAGCAGGGGAGGGGAATCGATTAACTGACCAAAGTATGTCCAACTCTGCTACGATGAGTGGCAATATGTCTTGTTTGAGGTTGTCAGTATTGGACCTTTTTCCTTTTGACCTATTAAGTCACAGATCAAACAATCGACATACAAGTTAGCTTTACTTTTTCTTCTCTTCTTCTGCTATGCATTTGAGACGTTTTGTCTTCAAGGTCGAAGGTGGAAACTGTGGCGCATGCGCAGGATGCCTCAGCCAGTTTGGGTCTAATTGGCTGTGTACATGCAGGAGGAATTCAACTCCCAGTCACATTATCTGGGTGTGGTAGTCTGACTTTTAGAAATTCGATTTGGTACAATTTCAGTCGGACTAACATGTTTACATGTGTTTTAAAAGTGCTGTTGTAGTCGGACTGACACAGTGAATTGATTTTTCTCATGTGAGTGTGGATCAAACAAACTGCTCAGGCCTCCTGCAGGGATCCAGTGGGGCAGACCTTGTATTTTTACATTTAATAGCATATCTGAAATTGCAAAACTTAATTTTTCTGTTTCTGTGAATTTAAATCATTGCTGCAGAAACAGTCTCTCCTCTGGCTGTTGAAGTTTTGATCTAGTTGTGAGATTGCAAGACTGAAACTTCTCCCATGTGTCAAGCATGAAAGGGTAGGAGGAGGAGGAACTACACTGTCTGACACAAAAACACAAATGGCCCCATCTAGAGCCAGTGTTTGGTTTGTCTGCTTTGGGCTACTGTAGAAAAAACATGGTGGACACTGTGATAGAGGACCTGCTCCATATGTAGACTCATTCAATGACTCTTTCTAGAACAACAATTCTTTTTTTTTTTTTTCAGGTGATTATAAATCCTACACACTTGACCTTTGAGTTATTGCTTCAGATGTATTCCTATCATTTTGCAGCACGGCTCAATGGTTGACGATGACAGTCTGGTGGTTGGTCCACCACTTTGGGCCTGACTGAAATATCTCAACAAATATTGGATTGCTTTGAAGTCAGAGTCAATCCCTGACTTTTCGTCAAGCTCCACCGCAAGGTTGACATTTTTGGTTTTGGGTGAAACGCCTACTGGATGGATTGCCATGAAATTTGGTACACATATCCAGGTATGTACAAAGGCTCATGTGGAGCCAAGAAGAGCCTGATGACTTTAGTGATCCCCTGGCTTCTCAGATAGTGCCACCAGTAGTTCAAAGTTTTCCCTTATCCAGTGAAGTATCTTAACATTTACTTGACGAATTGGCACTTAATTTCATACAGACTTCCATGGTTCCCAGACGAGTTATCTCTTGGACTTTTGTGATCCTCTGACCTTTCCTCTAGCACCACCATGGGGTCGACATTTGTGGTTTGGAATGAAATGTCTTGACAAGTTTTAGATTGCTATGACATTTAGTTCAGACATTAATGTCCCTCTTCGGACGAATTATTATTACTGTGATTGTTACTTTAGAGCCATCATCAGGTCATAATTTAATATTGTCCAGTACTTTGCTTTATGACATAATATCTGCAAAACTAATGACATTTCCTTCAGCCTCAGCTGTACCTTGTGTTTAGAACTAATTTGTGAATGTTAGCATGCTAAAGCAATGAACTAAAATGGTGAACATGGTAAATATTACCTGCTAAACATTATCGTGGGGTAACCTTAGCCTGTAAGAAAAACTCCATTACATTTAAAATCCTACATATGTAAATGTACAGAAGTATTATTGGCAATGTCGCCTGCTTAAAGCATCAAAGGTAGAAGTACTCATAATATAGAGTTTATTGTATCACGGCTATTATTAATATTATCATCACATGTAGGCAGCATTTAATGTGGAAGTATAGTACTGGCTAACTACTTTATTAACTGTTGCCCAGAGTTGCTCAACTTTGTGTCATAGAACGATTCAGTTTTGTATATAAAATATTAATCCTAAAGTCACTAGAAGGCGTAATTATTGCTGTTTAATCAAAGTTGAGAAGGAAAAAGTACAATATTTATGCAGTGCAGTCAAAGAATAGTAGCATAAATATAAGAACAAGAAAGTGAAAGTTTTACTTAAGTAAATTTAATTGGTTACTTTCAACCACTAGATTTTTGGCATACTCAGGGTTTTCTGGTTTATGTTGTTTGTGTTTTTTGTGCTGGCTATCTTTAAACATGTTTTTCTGCTTTCCTGAAATAATCCCACATCATCATAGTCATAATTGTTATTCTCATCTTCCTCTCCTTATCATCATCATCATCAGCAGCAGCAGCAGTACTCAAAGTCACAGAAAGAAAACACCCAACAACTGTCGTTATATTAATATATGTTTAATTCTTCTCCATTTTTATTATCATTATGTTTTATTTTCATATTTGCAAATCTTACAGGTCCTCTGTGCATGGACCTATCATCACGGCACACACATTGGCACAACAAGATTGTTCAGAAATAGATAAATTCTAATCACACTTTAATAGCACACAATTTCATGACTTTTGCAAGGACTTGGGAAAGACATAACAATAACAAATTTGATCTTTTTTTTCCTCTACTGAAATCAGAATTTGTAGTATGATGTGCCAAAAAAAAATAAAACATAATAGTAACATGGACATTCTCAATTCTCAAATAAACAAAGCATAAATAAAAAGGAACTTAAAAACATGAGATATAACCATAAGATGTGCAGCAGTTGAATAGAGCTCTGATGAGTGTGATGAGTTTTGCCATAAAGGTGCCTTTAGAGCACAACACTTCTCCCTAACATGAAATAAAATAATCTCTGTCTTTAAATAAGAAACTGCTGACAATATAAAAATACATGGCATTGTACTGTAGTTCATTAAATAAACCAACAATTCATATATAAAATATTATATTGACGTGTATAAAAATATGCCTTACAACTTTTTGAAAAGGGTAACAGCCGTAAGCTTTTTGTCTGCCACTTCAGAACACACAGTCGACCACAAAATTCCAACATATGTACAAACAATCAACTAATAAGCAGTCAGAACGCCATTTTGACGAATAAAATGAACAGAAGCATCCAGGATCATATCTGTATGACTATTTTTTCTGACTTGACATATATATAAGATACTGTAAGATTCAAGCAGTACTTGATGGAAACACATACTCAAAAATAAATTAATAGAAAAAGAAATATTCTGTCAATTAGGTATGTTGATATCAGTGTATCTTTGGAGAGAGGGAGAGAGGACGGTGAGGGAGACACATTTTTCAAACATTTGTGTCACATCACCTGCGTAACAGTATTTCAGCCCACTGAGATCAGAACAAACACAGGCAGTGTCAGCTATCCTAAAGTAAAAAGGAAAATAAAATTCTACCAGAAAGCCGGGACAAGAGCCAGGGAATATAGAGATCATTCGGAGTAATACCGCTTGGATCACTGAGGCAGTTCACGGAGCATTAATGTGAGCATGCAGCATGTCACTGGACGACGCAGAGGACGTTGCTGCAACTGTTGAACATTCAGGCAGATGTTATTGTTGCTGCTGCTGGACTGTGAGAGTGTGTGTGTCTTGCTTCTAGAGAGGACATGAACGTTAACTGGTGTGTGTTTTCCATAGGAAGTGGTTTATCCCTGCTACCTCCTGTCCAGGCAGTGTCTAGCACATGCTAAAGCCACCCCCTCTCCCTGTGCTCCTGCTCCTCCATCACCTCCTCCTCTTCCTCCTCCACCACCTTCTCCTCTTCCTCCAGGCTCAGAGCAATAGGACAGACTCATCCCTCACTCCCCATCGCATGGTAAAGTACCATCTTCGCTGGCACGTGAGGGCACGGGCGTGCCGAGTTCATCCACGCACCAGCAGTGGCCACGCTGCATGCCCTTGGAGGAGCGGCACTGTGTGAGATTAAAAGACAGAGAGGGAGATTTTTTGAAAGGGGAAGGAGGGTGGATATTGAGTGGGAGCGTGGGGAAAGGTGGTGAGGGAGAGAAGAGAGAGAAAATGATATGTCATCATAGCGCAGTACTGATTCCCTGAGCTCACAGCTGAGAGGCTCAGAGAGAGAAGTGTCAGTTATTCTCAGCCCCTTATGGTCACAGACAAATCTCTGGATGCACCGAACAGAAAGCTGCAGTGGAGTGCAGCTCTCAGGGATGCATACAGTACAGAGACACCAAGTCGGTGCAGCAAAGACACATTCTCACATCACATAAAGTTAACATGTCTCATAATGCTTCAGGTGACTGTAACACTCTACCTGCTTTTTCCTGTAGAAGCCACGAGTGTCACAGTTGGGTATATAGATGTCACGGTCAGACTGGAAGATTGTCAGCTCCAGACCCCTCAGGACACTATTGAGCAGCTTGCGGCAGGGTGCCTGAAAACAGCAACGCAGAGTGTGACTTCAAACATCACCAGAGGCAAAGAGGGAAGACCTGTCTTCATCTAAAGAGTGGCAGAGGCAAGCTGCTATCTCCCCTCAGGTGGTTGTGTTGGCAGAAATCCTCTTTGATCACAACACATGTCGATGTGAATCACAAAGGATTCGCTACAGTGATGCAGCATCAGAGCCAGAAGCAGGGAATATGTATATTTATATATATCAGATGTCACATATTGTGTAACATTATATAACCATATTGTTACACAATCCTTTGGCTTTTCAGGTCACTGAATGGTTTGAAGTGACTGTGCGTTTTTGTGTCACTTAAACTATGTCATTTTGATCAATTCTGTGACTATCGTTGTTCCCACAATCACAACAACACATATTAGTTCAAATGCTGCAGATCACCCGGCTCGCAAAGTGAGAAATCTGTGGCGGCAGCGGCCGACTTGAAACTTTCCTGATTCACATCATGCTCAATTAGTTCTGCCGCATAGCAGCACACACATCATGCACCATAATGCATGGCTTCAGGGCAGTGTGTGTACATGCCACTGCAACACCCCAAACAGCAGAGGATCTATGGTAATAACTCTCTGTAACACAATGCAGCTCGATGTACAACCCTCTCCATCACATATGATGTGTATTAACACAATCTTGCCACATAAAATGCTTTATATATCTCAGATTTTTCATCATTTAGGTGATGCTCCATCAGCTTCACCCATTAAAGACTGTAAAATAAGAGCATGAACTTACTTTTTCAATGTCACCACTGTGTGAGGGATGGGGACCTGAGAGGAAACGACACACGGGCATGAGAATCTGACATAAAACTGTCGTAGCTGTCAACATCAAACCACATCCAATGTCACATTTTACAATAAAAGCTGCATATATGATATTTAGACAATCTTTGCATATTTTTGCACAAGACAGTTCTGAGCAGTCACTCAGATGAGATCTATCTGGGGTGGTCATTCAATGAGAGACCTAATTTTCCATCAGTATGTTTCCTTTTCAGATAGTTAATCGCAGTATCTCAGTTTGAACAGTAGATGGAGATCACTGCAATAAAAAGCAGCTTGATCAGGATGTAGGTGACACTGTGACAGTTTCACATTCATTCTTAAATCTCTACAGAGAGGCTGACTTGTAGGACAGATGATTGTCATGCACCCCTGTCATTTAAATGGATCAAATATATGTACAAATCAAATAAACGCAGGGAAATGCATCTTCACTTACACACTGTTGCAGCACCCAGAGACTGAATCAAAGCTCCTTGTTTTATGTGATTTGCCATCATATCTGATTAACAGATCACAGTCCTTTACAACAGGACTGTAATGACAAATGACATTTTTATCACAGTGACTCCAGAGGCACTGCTGAGCACTAGTGGATGCTTGAGGTCTGCAAATTCATCTGCGGTGCACAAATGCATCCAGGCTTAAATGTCACACACTAATTGGCCTTTCTTTTTGTTGGTGAGTGACACAGCATCACATGCAATCCACGGCACTACAGTAACGTGTGGTGGTTGTGCCAATGCACATGTCTCGCCTACCTGCAGTGTCCATGCATGTGTCTGTGTGCATCTGTAGGTGCATGCATTGTGCGTGTGCATACATGATTTCATGCACGTGTGCGTGTGTGTGTATACAGTATCTTACCTGTGGGGTGGGGCCTCTCAGTGGGACTAGTCCTGCTGTGCTTGGCGCAAATGCCCCTTCCCTGCAACAGAGCCTGGAGGGGGCTGTGCTCCCTTGGTGGGGGAACACAGCGGAGCCCCTTGGCACAGCTCAGGGTGTACACACCACAGGGCTCTCCCTGGGCCAACACTGACGTGCTGCCGGCAGCATTATGGTCCCTGGGGGGCCGACCTGCCCCCAGTGGATCCCTGCAGGAGGGACAGACCTTGAAGGGGCCCAAGCGGTTTGCCCCGGTCCATGATCCGCAGTGAGCAATCAGCAACAAAACAACGGTTGTTAAGTTAGAAAGGATAGGCATTTTCTGTCCAGGTCTCAGGTTCTCCACTCTGTCCCTCTCTGTCAGTTAAATGTGGCTGATGCTATTTCTGGATGTATATTTCTCCCTCACTCTCTCTCCCTTTCTCTCCCCTTTCCTCAGTCTTCTTCCCGTTTCTATACAGTAGCTGTTCCTTGGTGCTTTGCCGGTTGAGTCCCCTGCAGTGCCAGAGGAGACAAATGGAGATCGAGAGAGACACAGCAAAGCACCAGCTTTTAAAGATCTGAAAGGCGGTGATAGAGAGTGAGTGAGTGAGTGAGTGAGGGAGAGAGAGAGCACAGTTATGACACCTTCAGGGGCTGGGACTCAGAGAGAGGGAGAGGGAGACGGAGAGGGAGAGAATGAGAGGGAGGTGGCAGGGAGGGAGAGAGCAAGTGGGGGGTGGATTATGTTCCTTTCAGAAATTATCAAAATCTCTCCACCCTTTCCTGTTATATACTAACACATACATCCAGCCTTCTTCTTCCACTCACGCTCAACGTTACAAACGCTCAAATACTTCGGCTGTTTGCACTTTCTTTCCAGTGTCAGAGACCTTTCTGGAATAGTATTTGCCATGGTAACAAATACAAATGTATATGTGCCTCCATCAGCCTCGCCACTGCAATGCCATTTGCTACAATAAATACACAGCTGTGTGATTTCTCCTGCTCGGATCATGTAGAGAATATTTCCTTGAGAAACATATAACACCACAGCTGAGATCTACACCTCTGTCTTTCTGCCCAAATGACAGAAACACACATCAAAGTTTAGAGGATGTTGAATGAATGCATTATAAATTAAACATTAAAGAAATTAGATTCCCTAAAAATGTATATTACCAAAGAGAAGTGTGACATTACTTTATGTAACAAGTGAAACTGTGGCTCCGCATAATCAGATCACTGCTGAGTCAAGAAGGCTAATTTTGTCTTTAATAAGCAACTCAACTTCTAGATTATATTTCATCAGCTATCAGATATTAACTCACTTCATATCAAATGTTAAAGTGTGAGGGCAACGAAGGAGTTTGCTCACCAGTTGTTTGAATTGGAAGAGTAATCATCTGGATAATTAGGAGGAGGAGGAGGAGGAGGAGGACTCACTTTTGCAGGAATGCACATCGACCAGCCCGAGCCAAGCTGCTAATAATGCAATCCATTGCTCCACTCAGCCAGCTGGGATTTTCTACAACGGGTGCCATCTTCAAAAGATCGCTACTGAGTCCTTGACCCACGACTTAACACACCACATTTGATCCTGCCATTCAGCTTCCATGTCTGAACAGTTCTGTGACAGAAAAAATACAGGTTATTTGCTGCGTATATAATGATGTTGTTATCCTTAAATATACAGGGCAAAGTCTTTATACTCTTCAATACAGACACAAAAAGTTACTTTGCAGTTAAAGTACTTCAGTAGCCTGTGAAGTATTCTCCAACCTCCACTTCTGAGAAGTTTAGAAACTTTTTATGTAAGCTTGTTAGCTTTCTGTGAGACTGTCCCAGAAAAATGTGAGGAAGAGTCTTCTATTATAACCAATATAACATTTATGGCATCAGCAATTCTATTTGTGCAAAATATTTGTTATTTTTATACTTTGATAACTGCAGTAAGGACGCTCTACTTCCACACAGCACACTGTGGCACTGCAGGAATATATGTATGTATAAAAGGAGAAAATGAAAGCAAAGCCAAGGATCTGCACACGAAGATCATCAGTAGAGTGTTGAAGAATTCCTCTCTTATCTGGAGCCTCATTGTCTCCTGTGTTATCTGACAGTGCCTTGCTGCCATGGGCGCTCTGTGGACAGATGCAATATGAACATGATACCAAAAAAAGAACGCTTGCATAAGCAGAATTTGGATATTAATGTAACAATGCTGACTTGTACTGGTGCCTTTGAAATAAGCAGGACATTTACGTACAGACACAAAATGTGCTGTGCACAGTTTGCCTGGCATTGGGTCACATTTGCTCCTGCAGTAGTAATGCAGACATAACAGAGCACACACAGACAAACCCACTGGCCTGTACTTCCCACTGGAATTTGGGGCCACATAAGGCCACAATTTGCTTTGCCATCAGTGGGCTGTTGGTCTAATTAATCCTGGCAAGGAGGGCAGAAATCACCTGCCGTCTTGTGTTCCCATCAGCTCCCTAGCTGTTCTGTTTCCACACATCAGGAGATGTTCCAGGACACACGTCAGACCAACGGGGGCTCTCTTTTCCACATTGCCCTTGGGTTATTCATTTTTCCTCCTCTAGCCACACGGTTTCTTCCTCCTCTCTGCCTCCCTGGCTCAATTATATCCCAGCTGGCTCGGAAGGTCTCTCTGCTGCCACTTCAACATAGCAACCAGAATCCACACAAAACCCTGTGGTGGGACACTGCTCTGTGGAGTAGTATACCCCTGACCTCTGCTACGGTGATTATATTTCAGTTTAGGGTCATGAAACCAGTGGTGGCATGTAACTTAGTACATTTAGTTAAGTACAGTTTTAAGGTACTTGTGCTTTACTTGAATATTTCTATTTTATGCCACTTCTAATCCACAACATTGTGGAGGCACTTTTTACTTCACTATATTTATCTGACAGCTTTAGTTACTTTGTGGATTCAGATTATTAATACAAGATGTAAATCAACTCATAAATCATTTTGTATTATTGTAGGCTAAGATACCCAACAGTATATAAAATAGTTAGCTCCATCTTTACTGGCTGCAACATTAAATTAATGCACACATTAATGCTCCATTAATTCAGTAATATAATATAGACGAATCTGCAAAATGAATACTTCTACTTTTGGTGCTTTAGCATAATAGTTTTCCACTTTTATTCAAGTAATGTGGGGCAAATTTGACACATACACACGGACGCACACAATCCGAGAAACATGATTGGCTGAAAGCTTGTCACCATTTCCCAAAACTCAATGCGATTGGCTGTTTCAGTAACGCGGGTGTGACGTCACTGAGAAGCGCCGAACTCTAGTTTCCAAAGTTTTTATGAGGAGCTATGGATAGCTGATGGACAAAAGTGAGTTTCTGTCACATTAGCCCCCTAGATAACAGGTAAGCGTTCGACTAATCGATATTGGCACCTGTAATTAATCATTGCTCTCCGCTCCACTGTTAGGAACAGTCCTCCTGTTTGCGGAGCGCCGAACCTCTGCTTTAAAGCAAAGAAGCTATCACGTTAGCCGCTAATGTTGCTAACCCATGTTTAGCTTTGCGACTAAATTCGCGCCTCGTCACCAACTGACAAACAAATACGTACCTTTTTAAAATGTTATGTCTGTAACACGCAGCTGGCTGTAATCCATGTCAGCTTAAATGGCGGAAGTTGGCTGTGGACATTCATGCTAGCTTAACTTAGGTTAGCTTTACCGTTAGCACGGGAGCTAGCTTGCAGAGCTTGACAGCGTCAGGATGTAAACATTGGCACGCCCACCTCCCCCTCGTTGCGGCACTTTAAACGTCTTTTGTTTTAATATTGGGTAGACTTCTGGGGGTCATTCCTACGTTCCCAGGGTCTTATGTTCCCCTGTTCTGCTTTCCCTCCATATAACACATAAAACACTCTTACAACCTTCAGATCTGACACTGTGCAAAAAAATATAAGCAACCATATTGTATTTATCATCTATACTGGCAACCTGTTTGCGTCGTTGCAGGTGTACTGGACTGCATCTTATTTGCAGCTTACTCTTTTGAACCTTACTCTTAGATTAGTTTTGTATTTTGCATCTTACTGTTAGCGAGTTTTTATACTTTGAGCCTTAATCTTACTGATAGCTAGTTTTTATACTTTGCACCGTACTGTTATCTAGTTGTATTATTTAGTTTAAATTTGATGTATATTATATTTTACATTTGCTTTTTCTGCTATGTAATTTTAGTCCTTGTATATTGCACACTTTGTTCTCCAGCATTGTTTTTGCAATTGCTGCACAGCAATTTCCCTCAGGATAAAGTTGTATCTTATTTTACATATGTCTCTTATATATAAACTAACATGATCAGAGATTGGTAAGGGCTGTCATCACAGTTCAATTGCAAGAGAAGAAGGGAAGTGGACATTTCAAATGCAGTTTGGTAAAAATCTGTGCAGCCACTGTGGAGACATAAATGTTTAAATGCAAGATAACTGTCTTTCCTTTAAATCTGAAGACGTAGGTTTAAAGGAGTGTAACATCAGTAGGCAGCAAGGTGTAGGTGGGTAATTTCAACAAGTTGAGCCAGGGAAACGTACATTTAACATTTGATCGAGGGAAGTACATAAAATCCTTTAAAGGGTCTGAATGTGTAGTATGAAAAAGATATAGTTAATATTTATTTTTTATTAGTATTATACTGATATAGACCTCTGTATTTGAAAGTTAAATTTAAATTGAGCTGGGGATCATGTTTGCTGTGCTCTCATGAGATCATCCATCACTTAACAACATCCCAAACCAAAAACAGCTGAATACAATCATTACAATCAATGCATATAAGGAGTATTGTTTACGGCAGCTTCATCAGTGTGTCTGTCTTCGTGCATTCTGGGGCTAGTCACCTGTTTTGTTTTGCAAATGCGTGTTTTATTGGCACATTAGAGAGGCCCAAAATCATCTCTTATCACTGCAAGGTAATACTGCAAAAAAATAAATAAATAACATCACACACAATTATGTCACATGGGGGTTATATGAACATGCTGAGCTAATGAGTTCATTATCAAACTTTGCCTGAATAAAATATAACAGTAGTGGTAGTGTGTGAAAGAACAGTAAACCTCCACAGAGAGAGATAAAGAAATATGTAAGATTATAATACATTGCATATATTAACATATACAGAGGAAGTGAAAGTGAGGCTGTGCAAATACATAAATACAGTATATAAGCTAATAATTGCTTGTCAGTAGACTGTGTCTTCTTTGTTTATTGTATGCACACACTTAATTATAAAAACTGAACATTTCACCTTTCAAATTATGTATCTAGAGCAGAAACAATTAGTGGGTTAATCAGTTAGTCAGTTGATGAAAAAATGACGCCAAACGCTCCTTAGTTTCAGCTTCTCAGTTGTGAGGATTTGCTACTTTTCTTTGTCTTATTTGACTGTAAACTGGTTTTATTAGATTTTAAAATGTATGATGCACAAAGTAAACATTTTGAGGCGTCACCGCAGGCTTTAAGAAACAGTGATGGGCATTTTCCACTGTTTTTTTTTTTTTTTTTAACATTTTATAGACCAAACATTTCATCCCTCATTTGAGAAAATATTTGTTACTTGTAGTCCTACATACATACATGATTTGCTTTACCAAAAGATTACTTAATAAAGTCAGTAAACACATATAGTTAGAAGTTAGTTAGAATTCCCAACAGAAACATAGACACAGAGGCATCTTATATGCAAATGCATCATTAAGCTATAGCTATTTGTTTCAGACTTGCCAGTTCTGGAGCTGACTGTACATCTGAGTGGTGTTTTATGTAATGACTGTCAAAGTTTGTGTCTTTCTGCAGTATTTAAATGCTAAATTTTATGTCATGAAATGGGTGTCCTTTTGTTGAAGTCTTCTCTGACCTTGTTTTGTGTTAATCTAAAATGTGCTGCTATTGTCTGCGTGTCTCTGCTTCATTGCACTCTCACTGAAAATCCAGTACCTTTAAAGTATGATGTGACAAAGGGACGAGAAAACGAGAGAAAACCACAGGACATATGTCAAGAATTTCTTAATCAGTACCAATGTGAAAACAGTAGAATTTAATGTTTCCAATTGTTAAATCTGCCTCAGTGCCATCATCGTGGCCACATATTGATATTGTTACAGGAATATTGTATGAGAGTGTAAACTTTCAAGCAGCTATTGAATAGAAGAATTGGGAGCATATGCTTGAGAGTAGCTGGGCTGTTGGCACATAGAATCTAATGCATGTTTTCTCCCAGCTGTGTTTTTCTTTGTACAGTCTGCAAAAAATTGTGGTAATGTACGATTTTTGTCCCCCATTTTTTTGATTCAGATGGATGACATCAATGTCCTGCACCACAGATGCCTCCTGAATCTGAGGCGTCGAATCAGAGATATTGGGGATGGGCGCCCAGCACAGGAACGGTACATGAGGTTACAGAAGGATGGAGACACACTCAGGTCAGCCTGTTCTTCAACTGAAATGGAGCTGAAATATGGCTTTGTTGATTTGGGTCTATTTCAAAAGATCCTTCTGTGTTTTATTGTGTTGGTTTCTCTGCCTTCTCATTGGTGTTTTTTGAAACTTGAATGTGCTGTAGTGGGTTTATTTCATATTTTCAAGTATTTTCTCTGTTGTATTGGTCATGCCTGGCAAGATGTTGGGCGGGCGTGTTTTCTTGTTTTATAATCATTCTTATGGGCTGCGTTTTTCCTATTCATTTAAGATAGAAAAAGGCTCTGAAGCCACTGCTGTAAATAAAATCCTGAAGGGTTTGAGTGTTGCTAAGCATCAACAGCTAGCCCATTGTATGCTAAGATCATATCAGTGTATTCCTAGCTATGAGCTATTTGGCCTATGAGAGGGTTGTACTAGTTTGTACCCAGGGTCCAAAATTAGCTTTTTGGTCTATCTGACAGTGGCCAATAAACAGAAAAGAATTACCTTCCAAAATACTTTTTAACCGGCCATGAAACTGTATAGAATTAAAAAGAACACAAACAAATGAGCATGCCGCGCCCTGGTAGCTTACCTGGTAAAGCGCGTAGGCTGAATCCTTATCGCAGCATCTCAAGTCTGGCCGTCCTTCTTCAGCCGGGTTGTGGGGGCAGTGGGCTGAGCAAAGTATTCTAGCCGTCCCACTCCCCAGCAACTCTTTCCAACTCCTCCTGGGGGATCCCGAGGCTTTCCCAGGCCAAATGAGATATATAATCCCTCCAGTGTGTTCTGGGTCTGCCCCGGGGCCTCCTACCAGTTGAACAAGCCCAGAACACTTCCAGTGGGAGGCATCAGGATGCATCCTGATCAGATGCCCGAACCACCTCGACTGACCCCTTTCGATGCGAGGTAGCAGCAGCTCTACTCCGAGGTCTCTCCGCATGTCCGAGCTACTTACCCAATCTCTGAGCCTTCAGAGGAAACTCATTTTGGCCGCTTGCATCCGCGGTCTCTCTTATGAGGCTTACCTCATTTATTTTATTTGGCAATGTAGGTTTTTACTCGTATTTAGCGAGTGGTGGGTACTAACGTTGGACCCTGATTGTACCCATTTAAAACATTTTAATGTTTGTATTTGAGAAAGAGTAGGGGTGATAATATCACTGACTCACAATGGAGGTAAGAGATGGAAGACAAACAGCTTGTGGAGTTGTTTGTTCCACGTTACAGTGATAAACCCAAACTCGTCAATTGCATACCTCAGAACAAGGGCTGCAGTGGTATGAGATTTTGTGGTGCAAAAATGGTATAGCAAAAGATATAACAGTTTCACAGTATCATGGTACATAGTATTACACAGTTACTATTATTAATGTCAGTTACAAATGACCCTTAAAGGAATGAAAACTGGGGGTTTTTTTTGGCTGCCTCCAAAACAAAAAAGTCTGACAGGCAGTTGAGGAGGAAAGGAACTAAGTGTGCTCGGGCAGGTGAGGTTCTCTGTCTGGTTGTCTTTTTTCTTCTATACCGTAATTAAGCAAATGTACATGGTATGATAACCCTCAATTTTCATACCACGGTATACTTTGAAACCAGTATACCGCTGCAACTGTATTCAGAGCCACTGTCAGTGTCAATGGAGGCTTGTTTCTAGGTCAGCATAACATGACACGTAATACGTTTTTGTAGATTGTTTTGTTTGAACCAAGTTTTTTGTTTGACTGTAAACCTCAGGGACCTACCATGCAGTTTACTGTAGTTGTGAATGTGATTCCTTATCGTAAAGATGATGGCAAATGATTCAGCTGCTCATAACAGGATTGTCCTTGCATCTCCAGTTTCCCTTCCTTAACAAAACATCCTTCCCTTCTGATATAAAGCTGTTAGACATCGTATCTTGCAAATAAGCAACAGCCAATAATCAAGTGCATGGCATTTAATATATCTTCCGATAGTCATTGGCTAAAGGGCAACTCTAAATCAGCTTTCATTGTTACATAACTGTTGATAATGTGTGCACATTTTAGTCTCATTTCTGTTGCACGTGTCTCAGCAGTCTTTCATCGAAAAGACGAAGTTGTTCTTCGAGATGTATTTCTGATTGTACATACAGCAGTTGGACCTATTAGAAGTCACCTATTGTTAACCTGTAATTTCTTCTCTTTAGTTACCAAGGGAACTCTGAAGAGGTGGGTTGCTATGTGGCTGGCCATCCTTTATCAAAGGGAAATTGCTACTTTGAGGTAAGGCTCATTGATAGTGATGCTGTAAGTCAGAGTCTGACATTGTAATTGTGACTGAGCTCTGATTGAGTTGCAGGACCTGACTGTTAGCTCTCCCTGGATTTATTTGTGTATCATTAGCTCAGCTTCTACCTCTGTCTACTTTTTTGTGGATATGTGGTTATCATTAGGAAATAAGTAGACTGTTAGTCCTTTGCACAATCATTCATTTTGAAATGTTGGGTGGGGGATTATTCACAATATGATAGGCTCACCACCACATACCATCGCCCCTGTGTGTGCCCAAGATTGCTTTACCATCCAGCCAGCAATTTTATCCCCTGGAATCCCATTGCTGACAATTTTCTCAACTTCATATTAAATTCTGAGTGCCCCCCTACAGTCCCAGTTCACCAGTGCAAAACCACTACCTCAAGAATGTCCGAGCTGCATTGGAATGAGGGATAGGGTGTGGGTTAGGTGGTATCTTTGAGCAAAAAGATTAGTCTAACACACAGTGTTTTTCAGCAGATGGACAGGCAGGCTGGCAGCAGGAGAAACTATTGGACATTTATTTAGCAAATGTGATGAGGCCGTTCTAATAGTTTTCATACATACATACAGAAGAGTGTGAGGTAGAAAGTATTTTTATGATTTAGCACGGGAAAGTTGAAAGAGTTCGGACATAAATTAGGTGCAGAGGGCTGCAGTGTTTTATTTATGAGCCAGCTTGTTTGTTGATGGTGCACGTCAGAGCAGGCATTGTGACGTGTGGTTAAGAGACGACAGGTGAGGCAGACGTGCTTCCTTGTCTGTGTTCTTAGGCTTCAGGGGAAACATTAGGCTATACATTATCCTGAAAACCTACGTCATTCTGCCAAGCTGCAAATAGAGCCAGACAGGACCATGCAGCATCAGCGTAAAAGCTTTACTTCTTCCACTACTCTTTTCAGGTTTTTTTTTTTCTTTTTCAGATGAGAAGCACAACCTCGGACATATGTTGAAACATTTCAGATTTGCATTTAAACAGGCTGACAACGTGCTTTGACATTATTTATCGTGGCAATGAGGTGTCCCAGATTTGTGCCAGATGTGACATTTCCATTAAATGTGATGTCAAACCCTCATCTGACCTCCAGATCACTCCCTCTCCTTCCTACCAAGAAAATCTCAACGATAACAACGTTTATATTTAAATGAGAATCACATTTGGAGCCTGATAGATCTCTCTGACATTTAAACAAGTGGATTTTAGTGGGGTCATTACCCAGAGTTTTATGCTACATTATTCTCCACCGTGTGACGCACATGGTGTCAGTTTCCAAGATATCTCGAAAATTTGGGAGCATTTATTCTGATAAAGGTCAGGCTTCCGTTGAGGTATGCGTCACTGCTATCCTCATGTTTCTCCTCGTTCTGCTTTCACAAGGAATTCATTTCTCCTCTGTCTCTGTTACTGCACGTTCTCCAGTTTTCATCATCTGTCTTCTTCAAGCCCAGCTGAACATCTGCAGCATTCCACTTGTTTTAATAGACTTATTTGAAAAAATTCATATCAACATAACTTTACGGCTCATCAATGAGGACATTCCGGCTCTGTCCTCATTTCACATGTTTTTCTAACTTTTATTCCCATCGTACAGACACAAATGGTATTTTAACAGTTTACTTGTGGAAGTGATGACCTGCCAGGGCCAAGAATTTAGCTCTTTCACAAAGCAGGGGTGTAGAGTATTATCCTTAAAGTGCCAAACTGGAAAGGAACCGTGCCAGGAATTTTCAGTCAGAGAAACCCAAGAAGTTTGGTTTCACATGTGCCGTAATGCAGGAGCAGCGATTTGAGGGTCTGGGCTGAAGAGGGAGGTAGAGAATGAGGGAGGCAGATAAGTGGGGAAGGGGGAAAAGGGCATGCAAGGAATGATGGAGAGGAAGAGAATTTAGAGGGGTGAGAGATGACTTGGAGAGGTCATCGACAAAGGAAGAGAACACCGAATGGGGCTATTTTCTTGTGTTTGCCTTTCGCCTAATTCTGCTTGGTAGTGTGTGTCATTTTGCCCTGATTTGACTTAACTAGCAGACTGGCGTAACGCCACAGATGATGAGGTGACTGTGGATCTCTGGATGAGAGATGTACTGGTGTACGTACATGCCACAGTTATTGTGGCCGAAATATCACGGTTAACGTATTATCGCCATAGACACCAGACTTTCCAGGAATTACACTACACCACAGTTGTCTTAGATTTAATTAAACCTTACAAACTAAACACTGAACTGTAAATTGCAGCTTTGTTGGACATCAAATAGACTAGAAAAAAACCAGAAGGTGCCGGATGTTGATGTCACAGAGGGCCGCCAAAAATAAATAAATGTGTGGGAAACCCTGAACTAATCCTAGAAAAGTAAGTAAAGAAAAGTATTACAAGAACTAGGGCTGTACCGAACTCTGAATTTTGCCAGTCCAATCAGATTCAGCCCTTAAATATGAATATTCAAGGATTTGTTCTTTTTCCATATGAAGTTTTAAGATTTGAACGGGCTCAGTGGGACGTTCAGGGTGACAGCGGCATTCATCTAACATAGTAGACAAGCTAACTGCGCTAACGACAGGTCGGGGATGTGCAACATTTCTTGCCAACACTAGATATCAAACAAAAGCCAAAGACTGTTGTATTAAGTATCTGTAAGCTGTCACTTCACCACAAGAACACTGCACAGCAACCTGACTAGCCAAAAAAGCAAAAAACAAAAAACAAATCAGTCGTAGTCGACTGATGGGTCTCTGACTGATGATTCGAGTATCTGACTTTCCGGGGGCAGCCCTAGAGAGAATGCAAAGGTATTTTGGGAGAATCCAAAAACAACAAAAAAAAAAGTCTTGACTTGACACTTTTGGTGGTTTACGGTAACGTTACTGTGCTGGAATTTTGAGGGCTTGTTTGGGGGTTATGATCCAGCTTACCATACTGTAATACTTCCTAGAGTGCAAGAGCATTGCAGTGTTTCCTGCTGTACCGTGCTGTGTTCACTTGGCCCTCTGAAAACAGTGTTGATCTCAGTATTGACAGTAATAGAAATAGCTGATGGTATGTGGTTAAACTGGTGTACCAGCACATCTCTACTCTGGACAGCTGTATACCCGTGCAGGGAGTCAGACTCTGTGCACCTGGCAGGGAGCCATAACAACCAGACAGAATGAGGGCTCAGTAAGGCAGAGATTTACTGGGGGGGCGTCTTTCCCTGAGTATAGCTTTTCATTGAAATTGAAGTTTCTCTCAATATAAGACTTGTGTTTTGATTTTGGCTCTGTGCTGTAAATTCATGCTGTTCGTTTTTTAGGAATACCTTAAAAAAAACACATACTAGCTCTATAAAGGCCTGCTCCAAGTGTTGCTAATTGGTGCCATGGTTGTCTTTGTGTGTGTGTGTGTGTGTGTGTGTAGGTGACAATAGTGGACACAGGGGTGAGGGGGACCATTGCTGTGGGCCTGGTGCCTAAATTCTACAGGCTGGACCACCAGCCTGGCTGGCTGCCATACTCTGTAGCTTACCATGCTGACAACGGCAAGTAAGTCAAACCACAGTCATCTATTCACCACGGTACAGCATTGGTTTCTTGCATGGTTTGAGAAAATGGATTGTGGCCTGTTGGTGCTGCATCCACACATAACTACATCAGTCATTCCCTATATGGCTCTCACTCTGCATTTTTCAACAGCATAAATCTTTAGTCCATGAATTTATAGTACTAGAAAAGAAAGTTGATAATAGTGAAAAATGCATATTGCAGTTTCCCAGAGGTCAAGGTGACCTCTTAGATCTTCTTGCTTTGCCAATAATCCAAAACCCAAATAACCTCAAAGACAGCAGCAAATCCTCATAATTGAGGAGCTGGAACCAACCAGTGTTTTACATTTTTGCTTGATAAATTCCTTGTACAGTACAGGCCAAAAGTTTGGACACACCTTCTCATTCAATGCGTTTTCTTTATTTTCATGACTATTTACATTGTAGATTCTCACTGAAGGCATCAAAACTATGAATGAACACATGTGGAGTTATGTACTTAACAAAAAAAGGTGAAATAACTGAAAACATGTTTTATATTCTAGTTTCTTCAAAATAGCCACCCTTTGCTCTGATTACTGCTTTGCACACTCTTGGCATTCTCTCCATGAGCTTCAAGAGGTAGTCACCTGAAATGGTTTTCCAACAGTCTTGAAGGAGTTCCCAGAGGTGTTTAGCACTTGTCGGCCCCTTTGCCTTCACTCTGCGGTCCAGCTCACCCCAAACCATCTCGATTGGGTTCAGGTCCGGTGACTGTGGAGGCCAGGTCATCTGCCGCAGCACTCCATCACTCTCCTTCTTGGTCAAATAGCCCTTACACAGCCTGGAGGTGTGTTTGGGGTCATTGTCCTGTTGAAAAATAAATGATAGTCCAACTAAACGCAAACCGGATGGGATGGCATGTCGCTGCAGGATGCTGTGGTAGCCATGCTGGTTCAGTGTGCCTTCAATTTTGAATAAATCCCCAACAGTGTCACCAGCAAAACACCCCCACACCATCACACCTCCTCCTCCATGCTTCACAGTGGGAACCAGGCATGTGGAATCCATCCGTTCACCTTTTCTGCGTCTCACAAAGACACGGCGGTTGGAACCAAAGATCTCAAATTTGGACTCATCAGACCAAAGCACAGATTTCCACTGGTCTAATGTCCATTCCTTGTGTTTCTTGGCCCAAACAAATCTCTTCTGCTTGTTGCCTCTCCTTAGCAGTGGTTTCCTAGCAGCTATTTGACCATGAAGGCCTGATTGGCGCAGTCTCCTCTTAACAGTTGTTCTAGAGATGGGTCTGCTGCTAGAACTCTGTGTGGCATTCATCTGGTCTCTGATCTGAGCTGCTGTTAACTTGCGATTTCTGAGGCTGGTGACTCGGATGAACTTATCCTCAGAAGCAGAGGTGACTCTTGGTCTTCCTTTCCTGGGTCGGTCCTCATGTGTGCCAGTTTGGTTGTAGCGCTTGATGGTTTTTGCGACTCCACTTGGGGACACATTTAAAGTTTTTGCAATTTTCCGGACTGACTGACCTTCATTTCTTAAAGTAATGATGGCCACTGGTTTTTCTTTAGTTAGCTGATTGGTTCTTGCCATAATATGAATTTTAACAGTTGTCCAATAGGGCTGTCGGCTGTGTATTAACCTGACTTCTGCACAACACAACTGATGGTCCCAACCCCATTGATAAAGCAAGAAATTCCACTAATTAACCCTGATAAGGCACACCTGTGAAGTGGAAACCATTTCAGGTGACTACCTCTTGAAGCTCATGGAGAGAATGCCAAGAGTGTGCAAAGCAGTAATCAGAGCAAAGGGTGGCTATTTTGAAGAAACTAGAATATAAAACATGTTTTCAGTTATTTCACCTTTTTTTGTTAAGTACATAACTCCACATGTGTTCATTCATAGTTTTGATGCCTTCAGTGAGAATCTACAATGTAAATAGTCATGAAAATAAAGAAAACGCATTGAATGAGAAGGTGTGTCCAAACTTTTGGCCTGTACTGTATGTTACTCTACTGGTGTCGAAAACTTGCAGCAGAGAACACAAGCAGGAAGCTGCCCTAATGCAGCGATTGCTGTCTACCTGGAGAACACTCTAGCTGTAAAAAGAATAATTATTTAAATGTTGTTTTGTTGCAGTAACTATCTAGTTTTTATATTTTGATTTTCATCTCTTCATTCTTTCAAGGTTATATAATGGCAACCCTGTGGGTCAGCAGTTTGGGCCAAAGTGTGCTCGTGGTGACCGCATTGGCTGTGGAATACACTCAGAAAATATTGATGCAGGCTTTACTACAGTCTTTTTCACCAAAAATGGCAAAGAGGTAGGCGTTTTTAGTCACAATGACATTCGGTAATGTTTGTAGTGCAAACACGCTCTGGCTGAGCTGTCTGTATGTGTTGTGTTGTCTCTTGTTTCTTCACCCATTGTTTTCTAACATCCCTCCACTATACAGGTCGGTTCAGTGGAGGTTCCAGTGTCGGCAGAGGGGCTGTTCCCTGCCGTAGGGATGCACTCCATGGGGGAGGAGGTGAAGGTTGACCTGCAGGCGGAGTGGTTCCTGGAGGAAGACGATAGTATGATGATGGTGGACAGCCACGAGGATGACTGGGGGCGGCTTTACGACGTCAGGGTTAGCGGCACGGTAAGAAGTAGAAAAGTCCCTATTGTTTTTCTCATGGTAGAAGTAGTACTAGTAGCAAGAGTATTCAGGTAAATAACCATATTTCTCTAAGCAGGGACATTAGGGAAGTTTTCAGTTGATGGTGAGCAGGCTTATGGTTAGATACAGTTCCAGGTAGGACTGCAGCTACAGCTACTTTAATAATCAATTAATCTGTTAGGGCTGCCCCCTAAACGTCTATGACTGGGATCGTCGTGTGCGTCGTTTAATCTCATTTTGTCTCATCATTGCACTTTTTTTCTAAGCTGAGTCATTGTACACAGCGCAACCCAGGATAAGAGTATTGCACTGCTGTAAACTCAGCCTTGTCTCAAAATTACCTAACTACAAAACTTATTGTGATGGAACCAGAGAAGGATAATGAAAAGGCAGCATGACTAGTTTCTGTTTGCCACTCTGAATGTTAACAAAGTCAGCTAAACTACATTTGAACCAAACGCTGGTACAATCCCCTCCACTGCCGTCCAGTGTGATTCACTTTTTGTAACAACTGTATAAATAGAATACTTAATCTGATTCTTTATTTTTTTATTCCATACCATAGACTGTATATGAAGATGGATGACATGTCTCCACTCACCCCCACTGTACAGAAGTGAAGCTAAAATATCCCGCATATGGCCGTTGCCATGTTGCTCTGATGATGTCTTTCGGAGTCAGTTTGCCCAGTTGCAATTTCCACGTATCAAGTGGAATACTATACTATACTGCAGCTAGCCACCAGGAGGCGTTTGAGATGTTTCAGCTTCACTTTTGGGGAACTGTCATGTTGTCCGTCTTTATGTACAGACTTTTTTCAATATCCATCATCTGGATGAAATCATTAAGTTGCGTAAAATGCCACCAAATACCATAGACGTGTAGCATAGTCATACTGTCAGACATTTTGGTGGCAAGTCTGCACACTGAAATGTCAAGACTGTATGCATTGTAGCTGCTGCGGTAGTGGGCCAATCACATGTTGCATTAAATGGAAGATTGCCTGTGCTGTTTGTCTGGGAGCAAAACCATTATTACACTGTTATTTTTTCAGATCTAGGTACAAAATGGATCAAATGCAGGTGTTGTTTGAGTGGTGTAGTTTGGTACTATTTGATACTGGGTTATTTCGGTTGATACCATAAAGGTATCAAGTAACCAGCCCTAGTGGAGGCCATGAATAATACATTGTAGGTTGAAGGAAAAACATCCACCCCACCAGATTTGTCGACTGCAAGTCAACTTAGAAAATTCTGACTGTGATATGACCCCCGCATCTGTTGAATTTAAAAAAAAAAAAAAAAAGATAATCTAGACCAGGAGTTCTCAAAGTTTGACGACTGAGTGCCAATTGTGGGAGCCAGCATGTGATTGAGAGATGCACTGGAAAATGGACAAATACCACTTCTATGTTAAACTGTCAACTTGACTACCAAAATTGCTCTAACTTTAGCCAACAGCCCTTAGCCTGGAAATCCAGACTCAAATCTAGAGAGATTTTGAGTCTGGCCCTCACCGATACATACACCCTTCCTACCCAAGGGGTGGCACTAACTGAGGCATATTAAATGCCACCGCACGCAAGTGGATAGCACAATAGCCAATCAGAGCAAAAAACAAGGTTTTTCCATTTGTTTGCCGACCAGATTCAGATTCAGATTCAGAATACTTTATTAATCCCCGGGGGGAAATTGTTTTTGTTCCAATGCTCAATGCAAAGTAAAAATAGAAATACAGCATGAATGGAAACAAAAGATAAAGATGAAGATATAAATAAGATACTAAAATAGACAATGAAATAAATAAAATAAAATATTAAAGTAGACAATAAAATAAAATAAAATGAATAATAAAATAGTAAAATAGACAATCTGAAATATATACAATATACAATGAAATGGTTGTAGCGTTATAAATGAAATAAGAATGAGTAATTATATTGTGTGTTTTGACCAGTGGGGCTAACTGATATATTACGCTTTTGCCGTATCCCATAGGCAAAAACTTCCTTCCTGGAAATGAAGGCTTCTAGGGCAGTCTTCAGTTCCTCTCTCAAGGAAAAAGTGTAGTTGGCTTAGAGTTTCTTCCAAAGCTAAATTGAATGGACGCGGTCCTTCAGCAGCTGCCATCTTGGCTGTTTACTTTCTGACTCCTACGGTGCAGTCATCATGTTACGCCCGCCCAGAGCTCGCTGAGTAGATAACTCAATGCAAGCTATTGAAATGGACCTTGGATGATTAAATATAATGCACGCTTTTCAGGTCACGTCCAGGGGCTGCACAAAATGGTTCTGGGCCATGCCTCACTTTGAGCAACTATGATTTAGACTGTAAAATGTGAAAATAACAATTGCATTATCGGAGCCAGACAACCATTCATTCATATGAGACAGAAAAGCAAACCAGTCTTCCTCTTGTTTGAGGCTGTACCACTTTAAGATCAAGGCTCCATACAGTATATAATCTATAGAATTTCTCAGTTTACTAAATGAGCAGTCTATTAATCCTTTAAGCACAGAAATATTGAACACAATGGTATAGCATACTGGTATATAAGTGGTTGGTTGCCTTCCTTGTTTTGTGAACACAGAGACAGTGTATGTGAAAAGAAACACATCACATACATTCAGTGTTTCTCTGGCATATGTCTTTTTAATAGGACAGATTACAGTGTGGCTTTTCTGTTGCTTGTAATTCTGCGTGGTTGTTGCCAGTTCCCGTGTTTGTTTTGTGCTCTTACAAGATCCTTCAACTGCCTGTTCTTTAGCAAATCCCTCTTTGTTGACAACTGTACTTAATGCTTAAGCAAGAAAGGCTCAGTGATCTACTTCTCTGTATTGTGATCTCTCAGAGCCATCTCAGTGCAAACTATCTGTTAGCTGCTATTGCTGCTCTCTCTCACAAAGTGAATGAGAGAATGTGAAGACTTTAGGGTTTATAATTAAAGTGTGCAAACTGCAAATCAGTCTGATTCCTACACCAGGTGGGAGCGTCATATATTGACATTGACAGATACATTGACAGACCTGGATGACTCTGGTGCCCTAGTTTGTTTTCTCAAATGTTCAGGGTCAGTCTTTATTTAAAAAAATGTTTTGCCTGGAAAATTTGCATAATTGAAAGTCCTGCTACTTTTAACTATTAAAAGGTCTTTGTCATAGGCCTTTTCACAGCAAGTATTTTGACTTGTCAGTAGGAAAAGCACAGGTGTTGTTAATAACATTAACAAAGGCCGATTGCACCATAACTTCAAGACAGTTTTATTTATATGGCCCAATATTACAAATCACAAATATGCCTCAAGGTGCTTTACAGTCTGAACAGCAGATGACACCCTCTATCTTTAAGGAAAACTCCCCACAACAGAGAAGGTTCTCTCTTTTGGGATGGGACAGACATGCAATAGATGTCACACTTTGTGTTTAGTGCAAATTAGCAAATGTTAACATCTAAACTGAACTTAGTAAACAACAAAGCTGCCAAATGTTAGAATAATACCATTTAGCTCAAAGCACTTTTAATAGATTCTTGGTCTTTCTCTGTACCAGGGCTGAGGCAAGTGTTACACAGTTTTGCTGGTTGGATCTGGTTGCAGAACTAAGGCAGGTGTGGTATTGTACATTGCGTTTCCAAGTCGGGATTGAGTCTTGAAGATCAGAACCGTACAGGACTCTGGTTCAAATGTGGCTTCCCGAGGAGCCCCATTCTTCAGGGGTGGGAGGTTACTGTACACGTGCTTGTGTATAGATATAAATGTGCCTACCTAAGAGCATTTCACTTCACATAGAGGATATTTAGCTTAGTGGGACAAAGAAACAGAAAAATGATTCACTGTTGCTGTTTTAATTGTGTTTTTCTTAAAATTTTTGTCTGCCGAGAAACAATAAAAATCCTAATACCACTAATAGCGTACAGGCAGTGGTGTGTGTTACTTTGTTCAACAGGCCAGAATCGTCACCTGTTATTTGATTCGATTTAAAAAAAAATGTCGCATATACAGTGATGCCACCCAACAACAACCAGTCCATGAATTATCAAAGGGACATGGCAAAATGGTGTCTGTTTTTGTGTCTTTTTATAAAATGTGGTCATGCTACTTGAATACTTTTAGAAATTATGCACCCTGTTATAGACTGCTCCAAGGGCAAAAACTGTGCTGCCAAAGTTTTGGGAAAGTTTTTTGGTCAGACCAATTGACACATTCCCACCTATTATATCCATAAAAAATGCACTTGAAGTATATATCCAGGATGTCAAACTGACTCAGCAGCAACAACAGACAAAGATAGTTAGAAGCTAAAGCCGAACTATAGGCTACAGATCACAGTGTAAAAGTGAACCACCACATCACTGCTGATCGCCACAGAAGACAATGAATATAAAGGGAAACTTTGCTGATATTGAACCAGCTGTGTGGCATCGCAGTGTGTGCAGATGAACGGTGTTTGGCTTTGTGCCCGTGCCACTGCCAGCACCTGGACCTCCGCCGCCAGATGGGCAGGGATCTCCGGGGGGAGTCAAACAACGTTCATCTGCGAGCAATGTGATGACACACAGCTGGTTGAATATCACAAAGTTTCCCTGCTTCCCTTCACTGGTTCCTGTACAGCAGGGTCGGTCTTTGTTTCACTGTTATAATCATTAAAAAGCAAAAGCAGCATGTGTGTACATTCAGTAGGCTATATCTTCAGTAGCTAGCTAGCTAACCCTACACTTTTCAGGGATTGATTTTGACTTTGGAACAGGGAAGAAACATATATCTTTTTCCAACTTCTCCAGGTAACGAGTATCATGAGCCCCTTTTACACTGCCAGATTTTCCACGAATGTTGGGCCGTTTTGCTGGCTAGCTGCGAGCGTTTAGACACACAGAGGCGGAATGGCGAGTTGATCCGAGGCGCCCAATTTTCCGCCTTGTAGGGTAGTCATATTGGCAGAACCCTTTTAGGTTAAACAGAACGAGGCGGGCTTCCGCAACAGGAGG